TCTAAGCTATAGCCCTCCAATCAGCAAAGCTCATGGTGGAGGATGGGGGGTAGGAAGGTGGGTAGACCTTTTGGGGAGAGAACTCTGCCTTCCCTACAGAGAGTACGGGACCTTCTCTGCAGCATGCTGGTAGGGGGATGGGTGTTTATACTCGGGCTGTGGATGCTTTCTAAAAAAGACAAACTGTAATAATTTCTATTGATGCCCCGTGGACTGTTTAACCATCAAGGTTCTAGTGAGAAGGGCCTAAAGGAATCCAACTAAACAGGGCCTTGAACGCCAGGTTTTAGATAAACTAACCCTTGCAGTGGGGCTACCCCATGCACTGCAAGGACTAACTGCTCGTTTTATTATACGGTTAGAAACCTCGGTCTAATAAGAAAAGGAGCTACGCACCGGCCTCTTCATACCCCACACACCTTCCCCCAGAGTGCGCTAACCAATCAGTCTTCATTTTCCAACTTTACAAACTCTTAACTTGGAGCTCAATGAAAGTCTATGGGACCAGAACTCAGAAAATCAAATGTGTGATGTACACCCGGCCCAAACCCACTGTACGTCAATCACACGTGACCATACGATGTTATGAACCGAGTGTGGTGTGACAAGGACGTGGTGATACCACTCTCCATCTCGCCCTGCACAGAGATTTCCCAGCTCATGGGACACCATCTCAGGCCAGCAGACTGAAAGCGATCGTCACCAGTGTTGGGTAACTCCGCAGTTAACCCTTTACCCACAAACGTTCGCTGCCACCATGTGTTTTTTAATGGAAAAACAGAACGTGCCCAGCAAGTGCTGCGACAATTTAAAACGCTTAAACAATGCCTATGATGGTGCTGTCCTCTCAGACAGGAATAAGACAGGTTTCACTATACAGTAGCGCCCTTCAGAGGCAAGGATACTTTAAGTTTGTATTAAAGCTTATTTATAAGCTCTAATGATTTTTAGGATCGTCCTTTAATAAAAAATATATCTATCGATAGATGGTATAATGATATAGATATATCATAATATCTAACAGTCCTGGTTTTAGGCATTCTGACAGAGTTCAGAGTCCAATAAGCAAAAGAGAAGTCTGCAGGGCTCTCCTTCAAGCAAGCTTTCAGCAGATGATGTCCAGAGATTAAAGGGGAACTCTTCTGTGATAACACTTCTTGATGTTGCTGGAGTTCCTTACCTGATGGCTTATCAAAACAAGAGCCTAGAATAGTTGCCTTGGCAGCATCTTTTATTAGCCCTTTAGGTGGTGTCACAGAGCTGGCCCCCATGGCTGGGGAGGGAAAGCAGGAGGAACAAACTTTTTTTATATTTCAATATCACTGCCCTATTCCAAATTATGAAATGCAGCTGATATTGTAACTCAGGTTTATGACTTTCGGGTGAATGCGGGGTCACCTGGGTCATTACCTCTACCAGACCTGCTTTTGTGTTTATCAACTTGTCCACTGACAGATGAGTGCCTGGTGACATGCCTTTTAATTGGGGACAGCTATAAAAGGCTTAGAGGTGATTTGGAACTCACTAGTGCTGGGCAATAAAAATCACAGGCCAAATAAGTAGATCTCTGTTCTGGGGAATGTGGAGGGAGGGCAGGTGG